ACGTTGAATTATGGTTGACAAGATTGGCAACCTAATTTCAACGTTGTTTCAACGTCGAAACAGTAACGTCGATCCAATTTGCATAGTCAACCCTTTTTAAACGTCTATCCAACGTCTGGAAGGTCATTTCCAACGTTGATTCAACGTTGGATAAACGTCATTTTGCCCGCTGGGTCGTACCCGTACACCGAAATCGGGGTATCTTAACCTAGTCTATTATTACAGGTTTGTGCGTATGTCTTGTCATGTGTCAGTAATATTCCTATTTATAAATAATTATTTCTAAATTATGGGTTATCTGGCTAGCTGCAACTTGCTTTTAAGTGTTATCATGTAATAATCATACGGTATATTAATCTCCCAATTCGCATAATGATTATGATTCAAAACCCAAAGTAATCCTCTGTATATGTTGGAATTATACGCGATTAGATTTTCAGTTGCAATCCTTAACTTAACCGTGTTAACGGTTTTTTGAGCGCAAAATATGTTTCAAAATATTGTTTTTATTTAACTATTGTTTTATAACTATTAAACGAATTGGCCACACTATGTGTTTGATTGCAACGGTACCCGGTTGCAGTTTGAACTGCCCCACTTGTTCATTTTCGCTCCCGATTAATCACCAACGGCACGCTGATATTTTGTCCGACGATAATGATATGGCGGCCATGAATTATTATTATTATTATTTAAAAATATTTTAAAACGGTAGCTCTTCAGGGCTCGTAGGCACCTGTTTTTCAAGAGGCCATTTATTATACAAGTACATGTATTTACAAGCTATAAATATAATAACACAAATATATACACAAAAACAGAGAAAACATAACGAACTTAATAATTGCATGCACTACATTTGTTTCTGAATATATCCTATTACCAAATTTGAATCAAGTGCCGTAAAGAATACGTTTAAATTTGTTTATAAGGCCAATGCCTTTTTCTTTTGCTGTAATTGATAAGTCATTCCAAAGGGATGCAGCTGAATAACTAAAATTCTTTTTCATAAAATTTGTTTCAGGTTTTCCAAGATCATAGTTGTTATTGTTTAATAGAAAAGTTCGTTACTCGAGAACTAAAACTCGTAGAGATCGACTTGAAATTTTCAACGAAGACTCGTAATAACGATCTACAAAACATATAAAACAGCCCGGTTTATACGTTGTAGTTCAAAATGCGTACGTTCTAGTTTAAAATGCGTACGTTTATTTACTCAAAAAGTAAACTGGCTCTGGAAGTTATAACTGAGAGAATAATACATGCGTGCGCGAAAATACCAGATTTATTTTTATTATAATCGTTCGCTGCGCTCACTCTTGCATGAGATATTGAGATATCATGTTCAACACTCGAAATAAATCTGCACGCATGTATTATTCTCTATTTATAACTTCCAGAGCCAGTTTACTCTTTGAGTAAATGATCATGAACGTACGCATTTCAAACTAGGTTTTCCAGTCGAAATTGTGCGTCGAACCAGATGTTTGTGTTGTAATTTGTGTTGTAATACATAATCTCGTTCGTAATCTCTATCCCGTAGCTCCCCTGAGCGATGCGTCGTAATGTATAAATAGGTCCAGTCTCATCCTATCATACGTGAGATCTTCACATCAACAAGGAAAAAAATCCACATCAAAAAACTTCTTACAAGTTGAAATATTGAACGTGATGCTGACGCATGATGAATCGTATTGTTTATCGTTGATTTAATTAAAATAATAATAATAATAATAATAATAATAATAACAGTCTTTATTCATACTCAAGAACACCCGTCTGTGAGTTTACATTATAAAAATATATAAGATAAAATTATTGATATCTATAAGGTAATAACTAGCTATATACAGTTATGGATAAAAATATTAATAATGTTAAAAAGGTAAAGGTTAAAATTGGTTAAACAAAGTTAAACAAACATCGATTTACAAAAGAACTTTTAACTCGCTCTGTTCTCACTAATGGAAGTTCAAACTCGTGTCCCCTTGGCCTAAGGTGTCTATTTAATTTATCTGGTAAAAGCTCCTGTAGTGCATTATCTTTATTATGTATTACTTTATCCCAAAGTTTCTTGTCCCTTTTGATGCTTATCTCCTTAATATTCAATTTTTCCGATATGTAACCATTTCTGTGAGCGCGATTAATGAATTTGACTAATGTATTTATTGAAGTATGCGCCTCCCCAAAGTTCTATGCCGTAAGTGATTATAGGCATAATTAAAGTGTTAAACAGCATGTCCAGTTGTTTGATTGGGAAGCCATAGTATTTACAGACACGCATTATGTACATTCTTGCACTGGCTTTTTTCAACATTTCATCAAAATGCAAATCCCACTTGGAAGGGAGATCCTGTAATGTAATTCCTAAAATCTTTAACCACGTCCTTCGTTTAATAAATGGAAAAGGATCAGGCAACAGCGTAGGGATATTTCTCCTAACAATCATTTCATACGTCTTTTCCATATTTAAGGACATTCGATTATTTTCAGACCATGTTTGTATACTGTCCACTTCGGCTTGGGATGTATCTCCGTTTTCATTCCTGGTACTTCTAATGTCATGTCATCCGCGAACTTAACTAACTGGTTTATGGGGTTAACTGTTTTGATGTCATTCACCATGATCGAAAAGAGGACAGGACCCAGAACTGTTCCTTGGGGAACACCTCGATTAATGTTCAAGTATTCAGTTTCTATTCCATCAACCACTACCCTCTGTTTCCTATCCTCCAGAGAACTAATCAGCCAATTAGTAACATATGGGTTGATGGGGAGCTTCTTAAGCTTCTCGCATAAAATATCGTGTGGAACGCTATCGAATGCTTTGCGAAAGTCAAAAGATAATACTCTGACATATTTTGCATCTCCTTCTAACCATCTTAACCATGTGTGTTGGCACTTGATCAGAGCCATAATCGAATTGTGACCTTCCTTGTATGCAAACTGATCCGAATCAATAGCGTGTCTTGTAACATGTGCTATCTCAGTTTTGAACACACTTCTTTCAAATAATCTCATTATAATATCTGTTAAAGAGATTGGTCTTAGTTGATTAAGAGAGTTTAAGATAGATTCTTTAGGTACTGGTAGTACATTTGCATGTTTCCACATTTTAGGAACTTTGCTAAGTTTCAATGAAGTGTTAAATATATTTGTTATGGTAGGAGCAAGCTCAAATGCAAATTCCTTCCAAAACCAGTAAGGTAGATCATCTGGCCCGGATGCTGTTCGTTTTAGATTTTGTAAAAGGTGTAGAGTAGTATTTATAGAGAGCGAAGGAACCCTGGTGCCATCAGGGATCTCGACAGGTTCTGGAGCCGCGTACTGAGGATCCGAGTTTATACTTTGAAAGTATACATTTATCTCACTAGGATCAAAGGCTGCACTGACAGATCGACTCCGATTATTTCTTCCTGTAATACTGTTCACATTGGACCACCACTGTTTTGATCCGGTTTTCTGATTTTTGTTCTCTTGTTTGACGGCATTTAACTGGTTCTCTCGAATTAGCTTGTTTATCTGGTCTTGTAAACGAGCGTGAGATTCGGAATCGCTCTTCTGTATAGCTCTTTTCCTTTGCTTTAGCAAATGCTTTACAAGGGGTGACATAAACGGTGGGTCACGTGAAGAGGTTCTAACCTTAATTAGTGGGAAGCACTTTTCAAATATCGGCCACATCGTTTCATAAAATTTCAGCGTCATTTCATCTGGAGTTTGCCCATCCTTGGTTATCATATTCCAGTCTACAGTTCCTAATTCATATAACATATTTATTTTCTTATGTTGTCTTACATCTCTAAAATAGGAATTTTTTCTTTCTGCTTTAATTACATCTCGGGGATAGGTTATTACCATATCATGATCAGATTTTACTAAGCTTTTCACTACTTTAACTTTTTTCCAATCGTGAGGAGCGTTCGTAATGAAGACATCAAGTATATTTTGACCCCTTGTGGGAACTTTAACAAGTTGGATGAGCGACAGCTGATTGAGCAGATTTCGAATATTTAATTTATTGATATCACCCGCAATGATTATTCTGGAGTTTGGTTTAACAGACAGTATTTGTTCGCATGTGTCTATCAAATATTCAATTAGGTCATTCTCATTATAATCGTGATCAGGAGGGTGGTATATAGTTCCAACATAGACATTCGAGTTTTGTGTGTCAATTTTTGTCCATAAACATTCAAACAGATTGTCCGAGTTTGGCATTATCTGCATTTTCCAATCATTTCTACAAATAGTCGCCACACCGCCCCCTCGACAGTTTGTTCTGTCTTTTCTTATGATAGAAAAGCCAGCGGGACAGACAAGATGATCAGGTATAATTGGTTTCAGCCATGTTTCAGAGATACAGCATATGTCAATGTCATTACACTTCAGATCCGCATACAAAGCGGGAAGGGCATCAGGTTTTACTAGGGATCTAGCGTTTAACACTAGACAACGCGGAATTATACGTGGTAAATTTAAAGCTGTTTTATCGATTTGTACAAATTTCAGAACACGATCACGCTGGTGAGGTATCATACGAGCATGTTTTTTTCGTCTTGTAATTCTCACAGGAATTTTATTACTACGACAAGCTGACTGAGACATACAATTGGAACCATTTAAGTTCGTGTTAGCCGCATTAATTATGTTCTCGTAATTTTGCTGACTAGGTCTAGGTAATTCTCCCAGTCCGGAGGTCGATCTAGAGACAGTTTCTTCCGAAAATTCCGCTTCGGTTTAGTTTGTTTACTTTTGAAGTTTTTGCGACTACGGACTGTATTCCTTGATAAATGCTGGTTTCTCTTGTTTGTATTGAAAGTATTTAATTCTGTTGTTTGGGGGTTTGTAGGGACAGGTTTCATCCAATTGTGTGATCTATTGGGAAACGCAAGAGACTGTTTCTCTCGGTATTTCTTTAGCTGTTTCTTGAACGATGAGGATGTATTCAGCGAACTATCCGTCCGGTCAATGGCTATGTTAACCCCATCAGCTACAGTGAAATTTTCAAAGCCTGACAGAAAGTCGTCTGACTGGCTCCCAAGGGTGTTATCAATACAGTGAGCCTCTGGTGTTATGCTGGCTTCATCAATTGTAGTGAAATTTTTAATGCATAACGGAAGGTCATCTGGCTGATCGTCCGAATTAAATACACCAGAGAAACTTGAGCTCCCAAGGGGATTATCAATGCTATGGACTATTGATGTTATGCTTGTTTCATCAATTATAGCGTGATTTTTCATTTGCATAATCGATTGTCTCAAAGATTCATTCATCGCCTCACTTGACTTAAGTCTATTTTCAAGAGAGACAATGGTGTTATTTAATTCGTTTACTTCTTTATTTCTTCCTCGGATTAAAATTGATATATCAGCTTCAAGGTTTTTACATTTTTCCCTTTCATTAGATAGTTCCTTTTGAAGTTGGTTAATTTCTTCGCTCTCCCGCGACTTTTCGATTGCAAAAATCCTAGACTCCATATTTCTTTGCATGATCACCATATCAAGCTTAACCTCTTCAAGGTCTGCTGCCAGCAGCCTACATTGACAACCGTGCTCGAAATCATGCACTACATTACAAGGGAATGAATTTGATCTGACCTTAAACTTTTCTGAATGTACATCACTCTTGAAAGACTGATTAGGTATTTCTGTAGTCATATCAACAATCGAATCAGCAGTAACCGCGTTAGTATTGTTGTTATGCCTTTGCTCTATGACACTACTTATTGTCGGCATACAAATATTATCCGATAATTCGCCATCCTCAACTGCATTCGGTTTCGCCGTAAACTCATTTGATGTAGTTGGTGCCCCACACACTGTAATCAACGTATTTGCTAGAGCCAAACTTGCATCGCCGTGAAGCACAAGTGTATTTTGTTTTCTGGCATACCAAGTAATAGTTAAGTCCGAATTGAGGCACGTAAACTTTTTTGCATTACCACCCGGCGACGACCAATTGCCATGTAATTTAAGACCACATTCAACGAAACTTTGCAACATGTCAAAGCTTCCAGACCACTTTATACGCTTTCTATCATACGTTAGGTTTGAGCAATCTTTATGATTGTATATTTGCTCAAACTTCCATTCATTTAGATTATTTTTATAACAATTTACAGAGCTCAGATTAGTACGACCGCCCGCCATTGTTTCTTCATTGTCTGAAGTGTCTGTCTTCATTTTGTTATTTAATAGGTCCTACTGTGGACTACTATCTTTCCGAAGAAGGGCCTTTGCTCGAAACGTCGAAAGTTTTGCTTACATTTTTCAGGTAGTGGTATTTCCTATAAAGATTGCTGTTAATATCATTTTATCGTCGATAGTTTGTATCATTATTTGCAACATTCGATGTTTCAAAGCATGCATGTGAATAAATATACAGCTTATTAACGAAACCTAGAATGAACACAGTTATCATACATAATTATTTACAACATCGATATTATTTTCGAAGAACCTTTTAAAGAACGTGAAAAAGTAGAATGTGTATTTAATCATTGATAGTTTTACCGTTATTTACAATATTATTGGACATAAATACACAATCCTAGATAATCAAATTTAGCCACGATGAATTTATAATTAGTGCCACATTCAAATGGGAGTACAGTGACACGATCACTTCGTTATTACTTTAATTTTATTACCATGCAAGACAACACATTTTCGTATAACGATACCCCCGTTATCCCGCAGTCCCCTTATGCGAGACCATATATCCGCAAAAATTTGGGTATCGTCCGATTTTCAAGAAACCTCTCCGTGCTTACAGTGTAATAAATCAAAAATATATTCCTAATTTATTTTTCTTTTACCTTTCCCCCCAGGAAATCCATCTGTACCATCGTTTCCTTTCATTCCTCGTTCACCTGGTTTTCCACTCGGTCCCTCAGGACCCACAATTTCTACTGATTCACCCCTTTCACCATCATCACCTCGAATTCCTGGTTCACCAACTTCACCTTTCTTACCCGGGTTTCCTTTTGGTCCTGAAAAGATAAGGAAAATGGCATTTAAACAATGGTGGAAGCAGATCTCAAACATGTTATTGGACTGCGAGTTTGATAGACTGCGAGATATCTTAAATGAACTTAAAGTACTCTGTTTCTTGTCAGCGCGCGCGTCATCTCCTGGTCAAGGGAATCTACTGAAATTTTGACACGAAAGTAATATATTTAACAATTATTGGATGAGGTTTTTGTGATATGCGGAATTATCAAGGTCGAGGTAAGCGTTATCAGCCGAGCCGAACGCGAGGCTGATAACGCTTACCGAGACCTTGATAATTTTGCATAACGCAAAAAACGAATTCAATAATTGTTTTATTATACATTTGTTTGTGTTAAATAGATACCGCTTGCTAATCATCGCAGGCTCATTTGATAACTGAATTTTCTGTAGTTTGCGTGATTGCGCGATTTAACTGTAAGCTCTTAGCCAATCAAATTGCTTTTACCAACTACAATGTATAATAATACAAGTTAATTTATGAATACATATTAGTACCGCATGTTTTGGCATGATTTTTGCAAGAGAATAAAGCATATTCTTGATATTTCTACTATTTTATACACATGAACATTTGATAATTATTCGCCTCAGGCTCGTGATTATCGGGGAATATTCACCGAGACGAAGTCGAGTTGAGTATTCCCCAATAATCACGAGCCTGAGGCGAATAATTGTTTTAGTATTTTTACACAAGTCGTTTGTGTTGTGTTTTTTGGGACTGAATTTATTTTAAAATCGCTTATTTGTTTATCAGTAACTTCCATAAAACGGCTAGCCGCCATTTTTCAAATTTCGGTAGCTTAATACGTCAAAATTGATCAGTCAACTTATAGGATTTGTTATAGTCACTTGCAAAAAAAAATACTAATTAATATTATTCTATAGTAGTTCTCATTTTATTCAATGTAAACGTGGTGACAGTTTAACACCAAGCAAACAAAATCAATGTATGCACTTATAGAAATTGGAAATGTACTCGCCAATTCTGCAAAAAGCGTTCTCTTGAAAAAAAAAGCCTTAAGCCGCGCGCGTCAATTTTGCGCGTCCATTTTGACCAGAAACAGAATACGTTTCTGGCCTAAAGTTACAAGAAATTTTGACATTATATCTACTTTAGTACAACACAACGTTTGAAAATGCTTGAAAACACTTGCCGCGGGCATTGGCATCAGCTGAAGTATATCCAATGCTTCCACAGCCTAAATCTAAATAGCCTGCGAGCAGGCTCTCTAGGGGAAAGAGCTAGAGCCTGCAAGGATCCCTATAACATTTATGTGCATGCGTCCAATATTTGGACGCAGAGCTCTGATTGGTTGATAACTGATTCAAATTAAGTAATTGGCGAGCTTCCATAAACTACACTTCCCGCTTGTAAAACCATAGTGACTATGGTAAAACCGCCCTGGGTAAAACCGCCCTGGGTAAAACCGAGCAACACAAAGCTTCGGAATTGCGGCAATGTAGAGATAAAAGTGTCACGTATTTTGTATCCTTGTTGACTTTTTACTGTAAATTAATATAGTATTCATATGAAGATGAATACTAAAAGCTTGCATGCATTCTTGATTCCTGGGCTTGTCTGACTCCTAGGCTAAGAATAACTCTTGAGAAAGACTGAACAAATCGCAAACCGAAACCTAGGGACAAGGCAATATATCGCTTCTCTTTTATGAAGCAATATTGAGAATTATTCTGATAATATTCAGTGCATATTGTGTGTATTAAGCTTGTTTTACAATTTAATGTTACTGACTATTTAATATTTATAATTATTAGACATTGTAGTTGGTAAAAGCAATTTGATTGGCTAAGAGCTTACAGTTAAATTGCGCAATCACGCAACCCACAGAAAATTCAGTTATCTGCTAGCAGATAACTCAGTTATCTGCAAATGAGTCAGAAACACAAAAACCTCATCCAATAATTGTTAAGTATGCGGCGTTAAAATGTACAGTATTTACTTGTCACTTTGTTTACAATAATTATCACATGCATGTTTAATTCCACTTTTTGTTGCAAAATTTGAACTATAAACATATTATTAAATTATGTCCAAAATCCATGGTATATCATATATGTCTATGTCTCACCAAAGCCATAAATTGCAGTAAGTTAGTTATATTATTACTATATATACAGCTGTTTCAATTAAGGTTGTTCCCGAGTAAAGCGGAAAAGTCGAATACGAGCGCGAAAGAATGCTGGGAATCGCTAATAAATTCATTAATTTTTTAGCGATTCCCAGCAGCCTTTCGCGCTCGTATTCGACTTTTCCGCTTTGCTCCTGGACAACCTTAATTGAAATAGCTGTATATATTATATTGCAGCACGAAACAATTCCAAACAACTGAATTAGTTAGCGGATAATATACAACTTTAAACTTACTGTGCCTACAGAAACACATGCAAACAGTAATAAAAAGTACAACTTGATATATTGTATTTCCGGTCTGCGCTGATTGGTTATTATTAATTGACCTGTGACATCCTAATTGAAGGGCGGCACGCAATCATCATAGGGATCCTTGCAGGCTTTCTTTCCCCTAGAGAGCCTGCTCGCAGGCTATATTGTTTTCTGATTTGCAGACATTTCCCCTTTCCGCAGGTTTTCTGAAGTGGATTTTTTATGTTCATAGTTGCCATTAATTTCCCGAGTTTTCCTGATTCTATGTCTTATCAACATATTCCGGGAAACTTTCCATTTCAACTCAGAATTAAAGTTTCTTGAGAATCTGGAATTTTTTTATAAACTGGTATATTTGACTTTTACTTTCACGGATATTTTGGATCCGTGTAACCCAATCCCCACCAAATCGTACACCCTAGTGAACCACAACGTATATAATAATTTGAAATATAATAGTTCGAAAGATTTAAATACACACTTCAGAATATTGGTAGACGAGATTTTACAGCTTCAAAATATTTCAGACGCGATATGATTTCCAACATGAGACAGTTTATACAGCACAAAGATAAAGCTTCGGGGTTTGACAAACCTAGTTATGTGATTCACAAATCAAGCATATAACTAAACTTGTTATATAGTTAGTGTCAAAGTTCAATTTTTCTGTTTGCCGATTGGTCAAAACCGTGTCACGTGCCTGTCCACAAAACGTCATGTTCGGCAACCGGTCCGCAATCAAACATTTATTGACCGGTCAATAATAAAATGGGTGCAATACGCATGCGTGTCAACCATGAAGTTCCAAAGTTCATTTTTTAAACTTTTTACTAAACATTTACGGCGTTCCATTTATCCAGTTTTGGTTTCAAATTAAGTTCACTCCAATAACCGGTGAATTATTCATACTTTGAGTCTTTGACACTTATATACTATATAGTGTCCACAAAACACACTGTTTCCCTCGGTCTCATGCAGTAAATAAGTGATAAATATGACTGACCGAGCACAGACCTTCGGTTGCTGCCCGGGGGATGATGATTTTAGAACAGCAAAAGGAAGTTCTGTGCTACCGAGGATACCAAACTGATTAATCTCACGCCGTTGACTTGCAGTGGACAAATACTGTAGGTTAAGGTATCAAAATGTACGCTTATTCTACAATTTATCCCTAGCAACTTTATACAAAATATTCCCTCCCTGTAAATTTGTATGAATGGCTGCCTCATGACATGAACGAAAGATTCCAAAAATCAAGTCGAAGTCGAAAAAGTAGACATACTGACTCACAAATTCACATCCCTTGTTGTTGGACTTAAGATACTGGCCTAACCCATGACTGGCTAACCACAAAAATATCAACTTTTACAATTATTTCAAGACATTTCAAAACTACCTTCATCACCATCATCCCCGCGTGGTCCGGGATTTCCACGTGGTCCAAATACACCTGGGGACCCTTTTTCACCTGCAGGACCATCATCACCTTTGAGACCAACATTTCCTGGGGGTCCGGGGAGACCCGGGGAACCATCAGTACCAGGGTTTCCATTAGGTCCTGTCTCTCCAACGTCACCTGGCTCACCTACCACAACACTCTGTTTACCTTCTGGGCCAATATCACCTAATGATATATTATGGTTTATTAGTTCAGTATAAGTCATGAAAATGCCAAGTTCATTTTTAGCAGCCATACTCATCTCATAAAATGTTATAATATATCCATGTTTTACCTTGAGCTCCTGGGTCACCAGGTAATCCTTGT